GAGGTAGGGCTGCAGAGGGTTGAGGCGGGAGATTCCTGGCTGTATCTGACCCTTCCCATGCCGATGCCTGTGCCCTCTGCAGATTCCTGCTTGGTGCCGATTCCACCCTGTGACCCTCCTGAGGGGCAGTTCCCGAGAAGATGCACCAGGCCCCAGGGTAGCCCCAGGGTGCTGCTCAGCCTGGACACCCAGCGCCCCCAGAGCCCTGGTAAGTGGGTATGTGACTCCCAGGAGAGCAGCAGTGGGAAGCTGGCCCAGAAAGCCTGAGGTGGGGGGGGGGCAAGACCCCCCAGCTGCTGCTGGGAGTTAGCGGCAAAGCTGGGAACAAAACCCAGGAGTCTAGTTCCCGGTGCCGCCCTTCTCCAACCACTAGGCACCAAGCCCCTTCCAGAGCCGGGAGTAGAGCCCCAGAGTCTGGGCGGGGGGCAGCTCTGGTGCTCCTTAAGACAAGGTGTGCCCACCATTTCTCTGGCTGCCTGTAGCCAGGCCTGGCCTCAGGGCCCGAGCTGTGTCCGGAGGACGTCACCGTGGCGTCACGTCATGTGCGCTCCCCCGCCCTGACCCCGTCGCCTGCCCCCGCCCACTCTGACCAGTTGCCTCTGTCCTGATCCCACTCTGCGGTCCCTTGCTGCAGCATCCGGGCTGAGCCCCTCGGTGCCCAGGGGCCGGATGTGCTCTCTTCACTTTCCTCCCCCCTCACTCCAGAAACCGTGTCCCCCGACGTGACTCAGTGCGCGGCCCTCACCAGCGAACCCGCAGTACCGGAGCTGTAAGAGCAGCCTGGCAGCCTTCCTGCTGGAGCGAGGTGAGGAGCTCCCCTCAGGGTTGGGTGGCGCCCAGGGGAGTTCTCACTTCCCCCGTGCCTTGAATAAACCCCTTGAGCAGATGCTGCCCGGCAGCAGGTGGCTGACCCGCTCTGCCTGCGGCCTTGGCTGGACCCGGACAGCGCTGTGCTCGGCACTGGTGGGTGGGCGTGGGGTCAGTGGACTGCAGACAGTCCTCCGCAGTGTGGGGTGCCTGGTGCGTTCTCTGGTGGGTGGGCGTGGGGTCAGAGGACTGCAGACAGTCCTCCGCAGTGTGGGGTGCCTGGTGCGTTCTCTGGTGGGTGGAGCCAGGACTCCTGGGTTCTGTTCCCCGCCGGAGAGGGAATGAGCTAGGAAATTTGCCCTCTTTGAAATGCTGTTTTGAACAGCTGCACAGCTTGGTCGTCTCAGGAGACTTGGCTACGCTGCTGAAGTCGGAGCTCCCAGCTCCCGCCCCCTCCCTTCCCTGAGCTGGGCCTACAACCCAAGGGTCCAGGCCCCCAGCCCCTTCCTCTGATTACTAACCTGGAGGATTGGCTGTAGTTTGGGGCTGGAGCAGAGATGAGGGCAGGTCATCCCTGGCCCTGCTGCCTCCTCGCCCTGCACTGTGCGTCTCCCGGCAGAGGTGGTGGATGCCCAGCAGGGCTGCAGGAGGCGGTTTGAGCTGGTGGCGCTGGGCGCCGGCCAAGGGTCCAGGCCCCCAGCCCCTTCCTCTGATTACTAACCTGGAGGATTGGCTGTAGTTTGGGGCTGGAGCAGAGATGAGGGCAGGTCATCCCTGGCCCTGCTGCCTCCTCGCCCTGCACTGTGCGTCTCCCGGCAGAGGTGGTGGATGCCCAGCAGGGCTGCAGGAGGCGGTTTGAGCTGGTGGCGCTGGGCGCCGGCGATACCTGCTACGGCGGCTGGCTGGAATTCAGTGGGCGGCGGCTCCATGACATGCACGGCCTGGTGATGGCTCGCCGGGCACTGCGGAGGTGAGATGTGCCTGGGACTGGGCTAGTAATGGGGCCGGGGACGGCCAATGGGTCTGGAGGAGCCAGCCTATACCAGGGAGGGGCCCAGTCAAGGATGGATCCTAGTAGTTGTATTAGGAGACTCTGTCCTTCCCATAGTCAGACCCTCCCCTCCCACTCTAACCACTAGACTCCACTCCCAGAGCTGAGGATGGAACCCAAGTGTCCTGGGTCCCCACACCCCCGCCAACCATTAGATTCCATTCCTCTCTCAGATCTGGGGATAGCAGCCCCTCCTGCTCTAACCACTAGACCCCACTGCCCTCCCAGAGCTGAGGATAGAACCCAGGAATGTGCCTGGTCTGACTCTATTGTACTGCTCACCCCTTCCCTCCTGGCTGCCCTCCTGGGCCCTGTCGGGGCAGGGGAGAGGGGTCCTGGGGGAGGAGAGGAACTGAGGGTGTTCGGTGGGCTTGGTGCCCTGTGGGAGAAGTTGGGAAGGCAGGTGCTCGCTTTTAAATAGGCAGGGATGGGGAGGACCCTGGTCTTCTGTTTGCCTGTGGGTTTTCTACGGAGGGCTTGGGGAGGGGAATGCTGCTTCTTGTGTAACCTGGCCAGTGGGGCAGGGTGTGATCACAAGAGCGTGCGAGGTCCGGGCCTGGAAATGGGGCAGGGTGTGATCACAAGAGCGTGCGAGGTCTGGGCCTGGCAATGGGGCAGGGAGGTGTGATCTGCACCTAGTGTCAATTCTAGGGTTTTGGTGCCAGGGGGAAGAGGGGGCGGGAAGACATCTGGGCCTTGAGGCCGAGTCAGGATTATATGGGCAGGGGCTGGGGGAGTCTAACGTGGATGGGGCAGGAGGAGCGATTGGTTCCAGGTTTGGGGGCACACACAGGCAGGTGCTGGAGGGCGGGGCTCTGAGCTCTTGTGGGTCTGGTCCTGGCTGTGACGGGGGATCTCTGCCCCTAAGCAGGTACCTGTACAAACAGCTGCTGCTGTGGGACAGGCTGGAGCACCAGGCGGAGCAGGGGAAATGCATCTTCCAGCCCGCGGCAGGCGGGGGGCTGCTGGCGCTCAAGCCCAAGGTCTTTGTGCACCTCTACCTGAACTGCATGCCCACGGGGGCCTCGGAGACCGCCCCGTGCGTGGGGGAGGCAGGGGAAAGGGGCTGGG